CAAAAAAAAAAAAAATAATAATAAAGAAAACTAAGTTGATAATGGTAATTGTTATTAGGTACATTAGAAATCGTGCTTTTTGATGTATGACCATATATTGTTTTATATTCGTCCCATAGGTGTGATTTTCAGATACGAATATAAGTGTTTCTGGGCTATGCTTTACCTACCTAAGTTCAGGCTGGGGCGTCTCCGATGGTTGGGCTGGTGATTGTAAGATGCTCGAGGTGTACGGGAACTGGTTTTAACTCCGGTAACCTAGCTTTATGACGTCGATAAAAACTCATACAGCTAGATAACCAAAGAAAATATCAGTTCCACTTTCTATTTTATAGTTGATTCTTTCCCTTCCTCGGAAGCTTTCCCTAGGTCTCCTCCGGTTGATGCTGCGTCGGGAAAATCGCGCGCGACTTGTCACCTACCTTCCACGTGATTCGATCAACTGCCTCAAGTTTTCTTATTGTCGTCGTTGTTTCTATGTCCCTCTTTCTCTCTTTATCTGTCTCTGGTCATGTCTTATAAGAAGTAGGCATCGGTGGTATTTCAATACTTCTTATTTTTTGTTTCTTTGCTGTACACAGACGCTGGGCGCACAAACTTGTCGACTGGACCATCGTCGAAAGAACTGACCAAGACTATTGCCGGTCGGCCAACATTTGGTTTTCCCCAGTCCCCAGCCTCGTTCGGCTAGTCGAACTTGATCGTTGAGAAAACCAGTTTTAAAAGCCAAGCCTTCTCCAACCTGTTCTGTATGCCACTGCGTTGCCAAACTTTCTAGTCCCAAGGCGATATTTGGAAACTGTGCGATGCGCCACTTCTCTCTGCTCCTCTCTACTACTTGTCGCCCTCTCTCTTCCAACGTATATATATATACTAAGGTATATGTATACACACATACTTTTATATATATATAAATTTACAACAAAAAAATTGTGTTGCTTGGTATGGTCGGACTGGTGGTGGAGCTCTTCGATTTCGAAATTGGGCTTGTGCAACTGTTGTCGGAGCTGGAGAAGAAGTGAGGAACCGAGCAGCCCGAGAGCCGAGACACAACTACACTCAACATCATCACTTTACCATTTACCAATGCACCCCTCTCACGATGGTACGATGACGTCACCGGTCGAGGTGGTCACCTAATTTCCTCATCCCATCACTCGGATGGAACCTGTTGGTGAGGCGGCCGAAGGCAGAACCGAAGGCGGCGGCCCTTTCTACCTCCTCTCCTCTTCACTCTTCTCCTCATCTGTGTCTTACCACCAATTACCATTGGGTATAAGCGGTCTTCTCTCCAGGACTTGCTGCCATCGGCTTCAGCTCATACCCATTCCATCGGTGTTGTTGCTACAGAGCGTTTAATATTCTTCACAGGAAACACTCTTGTTCTAAAAATAACCGTTTCGGGGTCCGGTGTTAACCCAGAATATTTAATACGAATCACTCTGCAACCAAATCCACGCCTTCTGAATATTAACCAACAAACTCACCCACTCTCCGTGCCTCTATTTCATTGCTACGCCACGAACGCACTTTCCTATTTCGAAAAATTTTAAGAGAAGAGGAAACAATCAAGACAAGCGGAGAATCGTACGCTTTCAACATCGAAAAATGATCAGGCAGCAACAAGCGTCGTGCGTTTTCGAAAATCCAAATGTCTGGTTAACTTTGCGTCCTTAAGACGGATTCTTATGTATGCTTCACTTAAAACCGGTTCTGGAATAAACCAATACACGAAGCCACATTCTATCTAGAAGCTTCATTATACTCACTAAAATCTTTAATTTATTTTTATTCAGCCTCTTCCAATGGTTCATGTAGTCATATTTTAGTTACTAAAATGTACTTTATTTCTAATCTAATTATTGAAGCAAATATTATTTCATTTCTTTATAACAAAATATTCAAATTTTATCTTAAATAAAATGTATATTGGATATTTTTTTTTAAATTTCACTGCAATTAATATCATCTATTTTCATATGTAAACATATAAAATGTAAGTATAAGACAAGTTTATAAAAAAAGTCTAGAATCTAGGTGCGTCTTATACATGAGAGTTAACTTTCTTGTTTCAACATTAAACAAATTTATGCTTGGTAACTAAATGGAAAAGTTTAATATTCAACTTTTTTAATTATGAAAATAATTGTTTTTAATATTAACAAATAAGAAAATTATAATCAAAAGTTTATTAGTTTCCAAAGAAACATATCATATAGTTGAATAACAAATATTACTTACAATTTTTTTGAAATTGAATATCTGGTACAATTTATCCTTACACTCAATAAAATTATTTCGTTTCTTTACATTTCACCAATTAAACCACTTGTTTTCTAAATTATTTAAATGTAAAATTATTACAAAAACAAAGAGTTCTATATGACATAACTCGGTCTGTAGAAGTGAAATGCTATTAGCGGAATGACGGAACAATCTTAAGCTTTTCATTAACTTATCATTTTAAAAGATTAACGTATTTTTATCAGCAAATGTGCTTAGTTGGCTTCCGGTGTTACTGACGGCTTGCGTAGGAGATCTGCTGACACTTGCACATTTTTGCTACATAAGTCTTATACATTTTATATTTGTAATTTTCGTAATTTAAAACAATTTAAACATGTATATAGATTTATCCAAACTTTTTAGAGTATATAATAAAATAATTGCATTTCCAGTTTCATTCAGTTAAATATCGACAAATTTCACCTGAAAATTTTTCTCAGTAAAAAGATTTTATAATAAAACAATTATTGTATGTATATTTATATTTCCAATGTTATTCAGCTAAAAATAGAAAAATTCAACAATTTTTGATTTCGGGAAACGGGATATTTTTTTTTATTCCCGGGAATTGTGTTTGTAATCGACAGGCCGATTGCAAGTCTTTTAATAATAAATCAATTTATTTTTGCAGGGTGACAACAGCAGATAGAATTGGCAGCTGCATTTGCAAATATCAAGTTTTTTATAAATTTTATTTTATTTAATATGTATCGATATTGGAAATACAAGTAAGTAACAAATATTTAATAGAGTTTTATTAAATGATTCCTCTTCAAATCTGTCGCATCACGTCAGTTTTATTAAAAGCTCATATTTTTAGATACTTGACAGAAGGACAAAATAAATCAATATTCAGTATGTATGGATATATATTTAACATTTCTCTTTCACATTTATATCATCAATATTTCGCATAGTGCGGTTTCGATCATTCCGGATTCATTATAATCCGGTTTAAAAATTTCAAAATAATATCGACAAATTGCAACAGCATTTGGAATAAAATAGGAAACTTTTTATTGATAGTCTAGCAGGTTATTTACTTAGTGACCCGTAGGTCATAGGTTGCCGACCTCTGATGCAAGCGAAGAATCAAATCTCTATGTGCTATAGTATTATTTTAATGCAATGATCAAAAATACAAATAAATTCTATAAAAAACATTTTTTTTTCCTTTATACTCTTTGTGCATTTTATTTTGAAGTCCTCGATTAGCGCAGTTTCGTGTGGGATATTGTTGGAAATAATTACCCGCACTGTGTGAGGTATTGTTGTATATATTTTTCGGATTTTATAAAAGGTGCACTGGATTACAAGACACAAAATGTGTCTACTTGAAAAATATGACAATTTTTTAATTTAAATTAACACCTCTAGTGTTTCCCTTTTTGGTTACAGGTTACAACGCACATTATTGGAAATGTCTACTAGTCCTAGATTGAAGAACAATGAAGTTATAAAGACTATGTACAATGAATAATTAAATTTAACGACTTTGATTGAAATTACTTCCTCTACTATTAAACAAAGGAACTTATAGTCAGATGATTGATTAAATTAAATGAATTTCATACGCTTATATAAAATATTCAAGCACTGAGTACATTTTATACAATTTATTATATTTTTATATGTAAAAACTCATTTTTTTTTCTGCCTGTTAATAATATTAATTTGTACATAGAAACTAATATATTTGTTGAAACTACCTGTAACATTGATCTTTTCATTTTATTTATTAACTCAATACATTTTATATGAGATTTTATGTGTTTTTGTGCATTTTTCTTTAATTAGGAAAATATTGATTTTTTTTTATATAAACTAATCTCTGTTCAGTTATTGACGGAACATTTCCTTGGGAATCATTTTGATTCACAGTATTTCAATTTTCCGTGTATTTCCCAACGTCAATTTAATAATATAAAAATGTATTCCATTTTATTCGATGCGCACATATCCACCTGAAATACGTCTTTGTAAACGTATAAATATATCTTCAAAAAGATATTTCCATTTGTACTTCACGACTTACAATTTTTAATATTTTTATATGAAAATATTTTATAATACCCACAACATCTCAATAAAAACTGATTTGAAAAAATTTCTATTAATTTTTTTTATTACTAAATCAATATTATTAAGAAAATATTAAGTATTTGCAATTGAGATAAATAAAGTTTAAAATATTTCAATAAAGATATAAGAGATGTTGCAACAATACCGAACTGCTTGAAACCGGACTAATCAAAGAAAAGAAAACATTTTTGTATACGAAATAATTTTGTGTACTGTTTTATTTTAATATTTTACTAGATGATCATAATTATGAAAAATTATGAAAACTGAAAAAACATTTTTTTTTGTGTATCAAATGTTCATTTTTCTTCAAAACAATAATATCGCTATAATTCTTAATATCTTAAGATCACTAAGGAAATCATCAGAGACAAACAACTGTAGGTACACACAAAATATTGAATTTTCAATATTTTTTTATCTGTTATTGTGAGGGATGTTAAAAAAAACCAATTGCGCTGTTGTTTTACATTCGTCGAAAATACGTATCTATAAATGAATCA